TGTAATAACTAATAATTACTAATAAAAAGTCCCCAGGCCAAGGAGGTCACCTTAATACCGAAAAAAAAAAAAAAAATTCAATAAATAACTTCTTTTTTTTTTTAGGCTATAAATTTCATAGAAAAATCATCCGCTCTTCCTCAACAAGAGAAATGGCTAGATTCAGTTAAAAAAAATTTTAATCCCATAAAAAAAATGGTTGAGGATTTAGAAGAATTTGAAAATGCCAAAACTGTAAGAAAAACATGGAATGGACGAAATTCAAATACTTTTTATTGGCAATAAATAATTTGGCAAGTTATATACTATTGGTATTTTTTATAAATGATTATATATCATTAATAGTCAAAAATCTAATATTAGAATCTTTTTTGTTTGCAATTCATATTGATTACAGCAATTAATGTATAAACAGATCTTCTCGCAAAAAGATATTAAGAACAATTTTTAAATTATAAATTTCACACTAAATTCTGGATAGTTTGAATTATTATATTAATTTTTTTTACCTTAAATTTATTGCATTTGTTAATATAAAACTTATGAAGCGAAACTTTGTAATATTACAATTAAAAAGAACTTAGCTCAAATGCTTTTTAATTATATAAAAAAAAATAAAGAGTTGGGTAATTATCAATAATAATCATTCAAAATTACATGATCGCTTTAACAAATTTTTAAATATTTACTATCGAACTTCTCTTTGTTTCATGTATTAGTTTTCTATTTCATATATTATGCATATTATATAACAAGTTAGGATTGAATTTTTAAATACCGATACGTAACTGATTTTTAGGGTGATACTAGGATGGTTGCATTGTATTGCATCGTATATATTGTGTGATACCGCATTATATACAGTATTGTCGTGGCAATGCAGAGCTGAGGCTCAAGAAAGTTAATTTTGATGTCAACTATAAATCGAACTACTTAAATCATGTGGTTTACAACATTGTGAATGTCATGTTACATTGTGCCAAATTTATGTACGTACTCATAATGACGTATGTAACATTGATAAGTATTCAATTATTTAACCGACTTATGAATAAAAAAAAAAAACAATTCTTTGAAACCGGAGAAATGGATAAATAATTTCGAGCAATACTACATTAAACACCTTTCATATAGTTATTTTGAAAGACTCGAAACCGATAGCACGATGTTATCTAGTTGTAAAGTTTTTTTCAATAAAATATGTAGTCTTAAGAAAAATTGCCCTTTTTCAAAAGTATACTTTATCAGCGACGTATGTTATCTAATAAAAATACAATACGATTTATTCATGTATATTATTAAACGTATTTCAATATTTTATTGTTTAGCTAAAGCAATATCAAAAAGTAGAATTGCATGAAAACATTTTAAAATTTATAGCTATTATTAAGCAAACTATAAATGAAGTTACGTTCATTCACGAATATGCACTTAACGGAACACTTAATCAATATTTAACCAAAAATTTCAGCAAAATTAATTGGAATAATAAATTTCGTCTTGCTAAACAACTTATTAGTGCTGTAAAATGTTTACACGACAATAATTTGGTCCATTTGAACTTGGTATTTTTTTATTTAAAATATTTTAAGAAAAATTATATGATAATACTAAAATTATTATTGTTAATTATTTAGAATTCTAGAAAAATATTTGTTCATAAAGATGACATTAAAATTTGTATTTTTCAAAATAAAAATACAATTACAAAGAAATTCAATTATATTCAGTATATCGATCCTCAATATTTACAAAATCCCAAAACTTATAAGTTAAACAAAAGTTCAGATATATATAGTATTGGAGTTCTTCTTTGGGAAATTTCAAGTGGAATTACACCATTTAAATCCGAATCACCTTATAGTTTTAATCTATTAAATAAAATAATTAATGGTAAACGCGAAGCTGCAATAGTCGGAACACCTAAAAGTTATATAAAGATCTATACAGGTAAATACAGGTAGATTTACATATGTAGTTTTATGTGGTTCTAATGAGATTAAGAATTATTACAGAATGTTGGCAGCACGATTCAAATCAACGTACATATTTATGATGAATTAGATAATATTAATCATAACAACATAATTAGTGGTGACGAAATTTTTACAGAGAGCAATAAGAATGTGGAAAATAATAATAATTTAGTATCAGAAATAGAAAGTTCAGATGCTTCAGATTTACTAAAATTCTATGTTAATTTGAATGATGAAATAACGAAGGAATTAGAGTTAATTTCTTCAATAATTGCAACTTTTAAGAAAGATTTGAGTGATAAAAATAGCATAATAAATGATTCAAATAACTTATTAGATTTAAAAAATTCTTTACTTGATTTAAGTATCGACATAAAATTTCCACCTTCGCTAGTTAGTGCAAGAAAATATAGTATTAATGATGAACCCGAATTTCTTTACGATTTATATGAATTTTTTATAGCTCAATATAATATACAGGTTCTTACAGAAACTACGGTCCATCATGTAAAGAAATATATAGAAGATCATAACAAAAATCCGGATGAAATTCTCAAACAATATAATATTTACAAATATAGGTACTACTTTACGAGCATTATTGGTTTTTTTTATTAATATGGAATTGGAACAATAATTGATTACCACAAGGCACTTGACAATTATAGACAAGCATCTAAAGACTTTTATTATACGAATTCTTCAAACAAATTAGTCAATTTATTACGAGAAAATCAGCTTATTGGGTTGATCTCTCTTGGGTTACTTTATAAAGATGGTAAAGGAGTTGCAGTAAATCAATCAAAAGCACTGCAATTATTTTTAAAATCGGTTGCCAAAGGTTCGAATCTAGGAAAAGTCTGTGTTGGAGAATGTTATTATTATGGTCATGGTATAGGAACTTCTATAGATGAAATAAAGGCTTTTGAGTGGATTTCAAAATCTGTCGAAGGAGGGGATAGTTCAGCACAACTTAATCTTGGCTTATGTTATCGTGTTGGTATAGGAACCTCTATAGATGAAAACAAAGCTTTTGAATTGTTTTTAAAATCTGCTGAAGGAGGAAATAGTTCAGGACAAAATAATCTTGGTTTATGTTATCGTGGTGGTATAGGAACTTATGTGGATGAAAACAAAGCGTTTGAATTGTTTTTAAAATCTGCTGAAGGAGGAGATAGTTCAGGACAAAATAATCTTGGTCAATGTTATTGTGATGGTATAGGAGTTTCTATAGATGAAGAAAAGGCTTTTAAGTGGTTTTTAAGATCTGCTGAAGGAGGAGACAATTCAGAACAAAATAACCTTGGTCAATGTTATCGTGATAGTATAGGAACCTCTATGGATGAAAACAAAGCGTTTGAATTGTTTTTAAAATCTGCTGAAGGAGGAAATAGCTTAGGACAAAATAATCTTGGTCAATGTTATCGTGATGGTATAGGAATTTCTAAAGATAAAAAAAAGGCTTTTGAATGGTTTTTAAAATCAGCTGAAGGAGGGGATAGATCAGGACAAAATAATCTTGGTCTATGTTATCGTGATGGTATAGGAGTTTCTAAAGATGAAGAAAAGGCTTTTGAATGGTTTTTAAAATCTGCTGGAAATGGAGATACATTAGGGATGGAAAGTCTTAGCCAATGTTACCTATTTGGCATAGGAACAAATATCGATGATGAAAAAGCTGCAGAATGGTGGGATAAAGCATTAAGTTAATGTTGACTTCTTTAAATTTAATAGATTTTTCTTTTAAAAAAAAATCTTTTTCCGTTGTAAGTTATGTTTTGAATTCCTTGGTTTTGTATAATTGTCCTTCTCCAGCGTCACAAAGAAAAATACTAAAAGGGATCTTTGAGTACAAGAAAAACATGGCAAAAATTTGAAATAACATCAATAAAGTTTAAGCTTTCAAAAAATTTTAATAATTTGGACTTAAAATTTTTTTAATTTAAATTTAATTTATACATACAAGCAATAAAAAATCTACTGCAAAATTATTCTCAATAAATAAATAAATAAACGAATAATTCAAAACTTTTACATCAAAGTTTTTAATACCCAACAATTGTTCATGATAAATTTTAAAAATCCATCTCGTTGATATTGACATAAATGATAATAGCAATAATAATAGTAAACGCTTAAAATTAATTTAAATAACTAAAAAAAAGAAAATTAAATAATTAGTCGCATATTTTTTCTTTCTATTTTTTTTTTTTTTTTAATATTTTTTGTAATATAATAGACTATCCAAATTAATTAATAAAAATAGAGGCAAGCCTCGTCATAGTAGAACAAAAAAAAAACTTTTTTTTTTTTGATATATTATTTATAATTCGTCAAACACTTGAAAAATTATCGATTGAAATTGCAAGATCTTCATCAGATACTGGAAAACTTATTTCTCGAGAATCTACTTATTAAAGATATTAAAGATGTTAATGAATTGTCAAAGAAAAAAGAATAATAAAAAATAAGAATGCTGTATGTGTTTATTAATATATTTACCTCTTTCATAGCCATCATAAGTATTAATCGGTTTATATGGAGTCATTTCTAGAAAATTGGTTTAAAAATTAATAAAGATAAATTTGCAAAGATTCACAATACAACGGTTTTTGGAATTTGACCTTTTTTAAATCTCCTAAATTTAATTAAATTTAGGGCTTTAAATACAAGATCAGATTTTATGAAATGCGGTATCTAAATCTAAAATTAAGGGGATCTTAAATTCCAAAAATCCGCCATATTTATTCTATTCAAGCATAAATTACCATCATCTCCTGAAAAAAATGAAGACCGCTCAGCATAAGTTCTAAGACAGCTTGATCTATTCACAGGTTTTGGTAAATTCGAAAATTTCAGTAATCTACTTTTATAAACAGCTTCATGATGTGGTTTTTTAAAAGGTTCGAATTCATCTGATTTTAATAATCTTTGTCTTTCGTTTTCAGCAGATATAAATTGATCAAACACATCATGTTTCTGAGAGACACCCATATGCCATCCCCAAGACATAAAAATTTTTTCCAATTCTCTAATATCAGGTCTCCGTTTAGGGTTTGCATCCCAACATAATTCCATTAATTCCATAAAACATCGAGGAGTTTCCACAATTAATGTAGGTCGAAGACCGTTACATATATCCCAGGCCAATTTTTCATCATGAGCGCGATCATGAAAAGGAAGTTGACCAGTTGTTATTTCCCACATCACTATACCAAAACTATATACATCAGCAGCTTCAGTGTATTCATCACCATATAAAATTTCAGGAGCAACATAAGGCAAAACACCATATACGCTATTATCATAATGAATAGATTTATCAGGAGGTCTATATTGACCTAAATCAGATATTAAAGTTCTATGTTGAGAGCCATTAAAACATCTTAATATATTACCGCTATGAAAATTTCTATGAATGAAACCAGCATTATGAATTGTCATTAAACCATGAGCTATATTATAAACCATGCCTAATTTTTTTTCCCAGGTGAGATCTTTAAAATTTTTTGAAAGATAATTGTATAAATTGCTTTCTATTAGTTCAGATACTATTATATAGTCTTTTGATTTAGGATCGCGACTAAAGCCATAACAACGAGGAATGTGATCGCTTTGATTTATACAATGATATTGACGAAGCTAAAAAAAAAAAAAAAAAAAAAGATCAATATGGAGAGCAATTTAAACAAAAACAAAATTAGCATATAAATTATCAAAAAAAAAATATACCTCTTGCCAGAAGGACGCTTCAGCATTATTTGAACCATTTAATTTTTTAAGGGTGATATGCTTTTCATTTTCCCGCACCCATTGAGATCTCAAATCATCCCAATATAACTTTGGACCCGGGTTCCAAACAGCCTTATAAACATTTCCAAAGCCACCTTTTCCAATTTCTTTTATATTCTCAAATTTATCATATGGAATCCATTCTAAAAACGTCAAAGGAGCGATGGAATTTAATTGAGTGTATCGAATAAATTGATCTAATTCGGTATTACCACTTGTCCAATTATGAAAGTCTTCACTGAAACGTCGGGACTCACAAGGTTTACACCAATAACGTTGAGTATATTGTTGTTTGCAATTAGGACAGAACTTTGAAGGAGCTAAAATGTTACGGGCCTCTTTACTGGATACACAACCCATTAATAACGTACTTTCGAATTGTTAATTATACAATTAGAATAAAAAAGTATTGATACGAATTAATTAAGATTTACTAATGCAATTTAAACACTTCACTGGATACGCCACTTGTTTATTGTAATTCAAATATTGTGAAAACAATTTACGTGATATGTGTATATTTTTTTTTAAATAAAAAAAAAATAAAAAAAATTCCGTTGAATTTATGTGCAACTTAATAAAATTATTTGTTTGGAGATCGGAGAAAATTAATATATTGAGGAAAATCAAAAAGAAACAAACAAACTTTATACTAGCCACTAGAACTAACAGAAATAACAGAAATTCGAAATATACAAGTAAATCTTTTAAGCTTAATGAAAAGCGGTCAAAATATATAAATATCCGAAAATTCTAATTTTCAAAAATAAAAAGAAAAGTATAAGCAACTAGACTATCTTTTATATGTGTGACACAGGCTGCACTAGTTCATTTATTGCATTCTCTAATCGATGCTGTACTGCATTTTGTACTTGATTCTTTGTCATTACTATATTACTATAGATGTTATTATAGATGTAAGTGTGGAGTGTTGGTTATACAAAGCCTGCTGTATCAACTGCATATCATACTTGATGATATAATCAGGAAACATTGATTTTCTTCAATAAAGAAGTTATTGTCTTCAATGAGCTTAAAATGTGCACCTCATTTTTTCGTCACATTTATAAACTTTATTTATTTTTTTTTTTTTTAGCATTTATTATGTAAAAAAAAAAAAAAGTATCTTAATCATAGTTGAACTTTGGAATTAAAAATGTATCATTGCATCATAATGCTAAATGACTGTCGTGACTATGAATAAATAAAACGTTATATAATCAATAATTTTAATCTTAATGCATTACAATGATTTAAACTGTTTGTACGTACGTACGTACATACGTACGTGCGACATAAGTATGTACAGCACATACGAACTTCGTATGTCGTACCCCGTTTTATATTTATTAATTTAGTTAGTTAGTTTGTCTTATATGAAAACAGTATTGCCTTTAATATAGAAATGTGTACGTACGTGTACCAATAATCCTGTAACTTTATCGGCATAGACATTATAAATCACATGTTGCATGGTTATTCTCGAGACAATCTAGAATAATTTTGTAACAGAAGTTATGCGTCACGTTTCTCCACTACTGCTACTGCACATTCGCAATTGAAAAATTTATAGGCCCCGTGGGTTTTGTGAATTCAATTGCTGGTAACACAGATCTCTGAGACAATAATCGTCTAAATGCATAGTATACGTAGTAGATTTTGTTCCAGGATTCAATGCGCATAAAATTAATATGAACTCTAAACTTAAAATTGGTGATTCATACTAAATAAATGGAAATACAAACTCCTATATGCCAATCTATTTCCAGTATTTTCTCAATTGAAGTTAATATTTGAATCTTATTCATTTCATGCTTTTTAATATTATTTGTGTCATGTTTTTAATATTATTTGTGTCAAAAAAATGGATAATATTAGATCGAAATTTAAATTTAACTTTACTAAATTTAAATCATCTATAAAATTTAAATTTATGCGCTTTTAATTGACTAAATATAAAACGTGACCCTAAGCAGTGTGCATGGAACTGTAGGGGGGCAAAGATTAGTTATTTTTAGATCTTAATAAAAAAACCGGATTTTACTGAGTAACTTTCAACATTAAAATTTAAATTTAATTATATATGTATACAGTATATATATATATATTATTTTTAAAATATTTTTTATAAGATAAATTAATGTTGAAACATTGCTGGAACGAAAATGTGACAATATCAAAAAAGCTCAAGATAGTAAAATATACGACTCCGTTACTAAGTGTAACAATTTAGCAATCTAAAACAGGGTTATTTATATGATTTTATTTATTAGTAAGATTATGTTTTTTGGTATTGTAGATAAATTAACTTTGATATTTTTTTCGTTAATGCCTAAAATAAATTTTAATATTTACTTACAGTCAGACCTCATTAAATGCACTTTCCTAAGTGTTCAGATTTGTAAATTCTTTCTAAATACACGGATTTCATAAAAGCTTTATATTTTGCTTTCCATAAATGCGCACCTTCTTTAAGTGCATTTTTTTCTATAGTTCAGAAGAGTCACTTAAAGAAATCAAACTGTATTTTTTTTTTTTTTGCTTTATATCGTGTAAATGCATTCTATTTAATTTTAGGAGCATATTAATTAAGGGATTAAGGGAGTCTAAAGATGTTAAAGTCCAGTTTGGTCCAACACCGTCTGGTCTTTTTTGGTTTGATTACGGTTTTGTTCTAAGACGGACGGCTTATAAGACTACACCGATCTAAATTTTCAGTTTGAAAAACCGTTGATTCTCACTTTCCCGAAACCTACCCTCCTGAAATAACATTTACCCACCCATAATTCCGATATCCCTTTTTCCCGACAAGACATATTTCTGACAGTATATTTACTGATAGAAATTTTTTACCGAATTTTTTTTTTTTCCCGATACAACCAATTCTCCGATGACCTGAATTTCTGAAAATTTTTATTCAACAGACTTTTTCGCAGACAAATCCCTTTCTCCGAATTTCTGTTCCTCAGACAAAAATTTTTCCTGAAGCCCTTTCACCGACAAATAATTTGATATATTTCCCCGAAAAGATGTTTCTCCGAAAAGATGTTTCCAACAAGATGTTTTCTCAATTGAACAAAATTGCAAAAATCAGGCAAACTCAACCCAACATAAACCATGCTAACTTTGTCGGTGAAATTGCTATCAGTCAAATGGTTGTCGGCGGACTCAGAATTTATAAAAATAGCTGCAAATTCGGTAAAAAAATTCTTCGGTAAAAGAGCTTTACAGCTGTTCTCATAAATTCTGGGACAAGTGATAAAAATTTGGCCGAAATTAATTCGGCCGAATCCGATAAGCT